TTTATTAAACTGCAGCTCAAAATAGAATAGGCCTATACCCTAAATAAGGATAAATTATATTGGAACGCATCTCCAAAATAATCGCATACTCATGCGATTATGCACGTTGCCATTACAGTAGTCAGCGCCGAACAACAGGCAAATAAAATATAAACGGGTTACAAAAGTGATTCAGTCAAGATCAGTAAGGGATTTTCTTTTCTTTTGTTCTTCGATTAACATTATAATGACTGGCGGCAGTGGCTGCTGTCAATGCACGGATCAAATACACCCTAGTTTTCTTTCTCAACTCTTTACGTTCACTTAAGACATAACCGTTGTATTTATGGGATATTTTGATATAATTCTGTGTGTATTTGTCCATTCGAATGTGTAAGAACACGAGAAAGAGAGCTCAGTCCAGTGTTCGCATATATAAGAGGCGGCGTTTGTGCGTGTGAGTTGTGTGTGTGTGTGTGTGTGTGTGTGTGTGTGTGTGTGTGTGTGTGTGTGTGTGTGCAGCACAGAAAACAACGCGCGAGTGCAGAAGTGAGCTCTATTTTGTCTTCTTGCAGTTGAATCCTTTGAAATCACAATAAATGAGCATACAGAAATCGAGACGCAGAATCGAAATGCAATTTTAAAACAAGTAATTTGATTCCTGGCCTTATGCATCTGATCTGATTTCCGAAATTGGAATAGCTTTTCAATTCCCAACCCTCCTACTAAATTATTTCACTCTTGCATGCAAAAAAACCTGTATGGTGACTATGGGGCTACGTAAAATATTTTTTGCAACTAACTAGGTTTATCATTTGTCATTTTTCCCCGATAATGTCGAAAATTGCCTGTTACCTGACTGTTGACATCGACATCGAGATACTTACGAGACATCGTCGATATACGATATATCGTCATATCGCCAGTCCTAGTGGTAAGTGAACTGTCATGTACTGTAATGCAACAGACTACTGCTACCAAGCGGCTAACCTTTTAATGGCTCTGTAGAACTCGTTATTTGTTTCACGCTTCGGGCACACCCCTAACCCCGCCCCCGATGTCATTGTCCATCACGATGTTTCACTGCAGACATCGTCCGATGCCAATTTAGTAGACATCGCCCAACCCTATTACACGGTGTGTATTCGTCAACAAAATGACATTCAGCGAAACTCTGATTAAACTGGAAGTGATACAACATTCAGAATTTATTATTTATGAAAGAAATTGGTACTAGATTTCAGAAAGGATGCATTAAATCGATCAAAAGTTACAGTAAAGATGTAAAAATGTTGCTATAAAATTTAAAATTTTAAATAAAAATTTTATTTAAAAATGTTTAAAATGTCAGTAGGGATGTAACAATTACCGGTTTGACGATAAATCATGACAAAATTGCCCACGGTTAGTATTACCATTTCATATTTTAATTATCATTAAAATCGTATTAGATTACCGCGATTTGAACAACTCACGATAAATAAATATTGTCTGAAGTATTAAAAGCATTAAAAGCATAAACCAGAGTTTTAAGTAACAGTCTCACGTGCGCACAGCACGCAGAGTAGTTTCGTTTTGAGTGAAAACAGGGCGGAAAAGCTAGGAGGTTTTAAAAGAGTGCTAGGGGAATTATACAAATTAATATATGAATTAATTAATTATATGAATGTACCTCTGAAGGTTCTGACTTCTTCTCTGTCTTCAGAAACGATTCGATGGCATTTTGTTTTCATCTTCGCTGCATGCAATACCTAATAAAGTAGTGTTCTTAATTGCAATACTGCTTCGCCCACGGAGTTTTCGGGAAACAGCTGCTGTTCCAGAAGCGCCACCTGCAGTTAGTGAGTGGATTTACAGAGACTTATATTTACATTCAGCCTGTGTGCAGTTTCTGTCTGGCCAAAAACGGACCAAATTTGCATGCTCTGCTGTAAATTTTGACCGGTTGATGAAAAACAAGCTTATGTGGATTCTACACATTTAAACAACTCAGATGTTATCTAGAATTATTTATTAATTTATTAATCAATTATCATTTTGACTTGACTCTTTTCTTTATTTAAAGGCTGAAATGTGAGGTTTACATTTTTATGAAACTTTTTCAAAGCTTTATTTGAACATTTACATTAGATATTTGAACATGCTATTAAACTGTTGCCAGTCAAGTTGTCATTTAAAATCCGAACATCATTGGTAATGTTACTGTTTTAGTGATTATGCAAACAAAAAGTCATTTTATTTGTTATTTGTTGATTTTTAACTATAAAACTTGGTGAAGTGATTTATGTGTCGGTACTTTTTGAACATCTCCAGCACATTTTAACAATACCGTGATAATACTGATAACCGTGATAATTTTGGTCACTATAATCGTGATAAGACATTTTCATTCCGTTACATCCCTAAATGTCAGAACATATTTCTATTTCAAATAAAACTATTTTTCAAATGTTTTATTTAGTCAAGATCTTTGAACTTTATATTCATCAAATAATCATTATAAATACTGAGCAGCACAACTGTTTTCAACATTAATGATAAGAAAAGCTCCGTGAGCACCAAATTTGAAGCATCTTGTGACACTGAAGAAAATTCTGTTTTATTCAGATTTATTCAGATTAGTTCACAAGAATAAATTACTTCTTAAAAAATTAAATATAGAACAGTTATTTTATTTGACATGATTACTTTTATTGTATTTCGATTAAATAAATTCATCCTTGGTGAGCATAAGAGGTTTTTTTCAAAACCTCTTAAAACAACTTACTGACCCCCGATTTTTGAACGGTATTGTGCCTTTAACTAATTTCATCATTTATCAACAAATTTATCATATCTACATGCATTTTACATATTTCTTCCCCCTAACATCAACTAATGTGAGAAATAGACAATAGCGAGTTTTCTGTGCTTTTTCAATTTTAACACCTTCACCCTAACCCTGCCTTCAATAAAATACTAGTGTAAAACTCAAGAGGAAAAACAGCATTTACCTGAAATGCACACATCTACAATCTTTGTGTATCTCATTGATAATCCCATTGACACACTCTTCCCTTATTCCTCTCCTTAACATATGAACACAATTTCAAACCAATCACCCAAACCATTGTTTCTCTGCATAGCCAAATGTGACCCAAATGGCCTCTTCACACCTCAGTCCTAACACATGTATTCCCCAAAGACAATCACTGCTGAGTGAATGAATGAATACCTAAAGACGACATGAATGCCACTCAACAGTCTCTAATGCAGAATGTTACATTCTGATGTAGTGAGTCATTTGAGAGAAAAAAAAAGTGTGCAGTTCCCTAATGTTTGCATTTACCTGAAATGGAGGCAAAGCCTCTCCATTACTGCCGACCCATATGAGAGAAGATCAGAAGGCCATCAAATCAATAAAATTAAATAATCTAATTCAGATGAATATCCTGACAGACAGTGTTTGTTTGCTAATGCTTTGCAAATGTGAAGAGACAAATTCTGAGCTTTCGGGGCCTGGTGAGAATAAAAAGCGAGGCCATTACCGTGCTATATTTTTAAAGGCCACCATCCATTAAAACAGGCTTCTGCAAACACTGGGTATCATCCAAATACGACGAAATCAATTCTCCTGCTGCCTCAGTCTGCTTTGTATTATAAATTGCTGCTGCATTTCTATTGTGCATCCAGATGAAACAAAACAGATGACCCTTCCAGTTATCTCCAGTTTTTGCCTTTTTCCCTCACTCAAACAAAACCAAACAAAAAACACATTTTTGTTTGCTATAGGGGTTTGTGATTCAAAACAGACACTTTGTGGCTACTGTCAAGCGTCTGCTTGGTCCACTGAGAAGGAAGCAATGGTCAAGTGCAGACACTTTACTAGAATGAAACTAACTTACCCTCAGTCGACGGCGAGAGAAGGAAGGCAGCTCCCAAAAGGCCAATGACGATGACCATGGAAGTGCTTTTTATCATGTTGGCTGAGATCCGAAACTATATAGCTGTCTTGGTTGTGCCGTACACTTTTGAGACAAACAAAGTGGCCAATGATCTGTGAAGAGTAGTGAGTAGACCGAGGAAGAGTATGTGAGCGTGAAGACAACTTTAAGGCCTCTTTACAGCCTCCTCTTGTTTAAGACCCTGTAATGAAGAGAGAGGAACACTTATTAATGTTTCAGAACCATCATCGTGACATGTTTCCTTGCTGAGTGCCAGAAATCAAGCTTGACAGAGAAAACTGGAGTGGTATTCAAATTCCTTTGCACTTCTATCTTCGTGCTGTGACTTGACCCCTGACCCCGTATCAGAGCAGAGCTGTGAGATGGCGGCTCTCGAGACTGGAAGGCTGATTAAAGGGATATTCTACCCAAAAATGTAGATTCTGGATTGTTTACTCAACCTCATGTTGTTCCAAACCTTTCTCTTTCCTTCATACAATGGATTTCAATGGTCACCAAAACCATATGGTTACCAAAATATATTTTTTTCTGTTCTGCAGAAGAATGAAAGTCACACAAGTTTGTAAGGACTTGATGGCAGAATTTTTATTTTTGGGGGGTGAACTATCCCTTTAAGCAGTGTCCCGTTCAAAATGGCTGGTGTTGGGTTCTGTCCAGCGTTAATAACATAATGTGGCTGCTCTCTCGTAGCTCCTGCTTGTCTCGATGCAATTAGTGGCTCCCAGAGGCTCTGTGGGACTGGGGGCCTGAATTAACAGGCACAGAGAGGGGGCCGGTGTCTGTCAGTTTTCATTTGGCCGAGGGGGACAAAGAGCCCCGACCTGCGCCCTACTTTTCACACTTCCCTGACTCCTGGGTAATGGGGAAACAAAAGGCGGGGCTCCTCTGGCTCACAAGGACCCCTGAAGACAGACTGGGTCCCTCTTCACACAGGACCACAGGGCAAGGGATGAAGAGATATGACCTACAACAGGTTTCAACAACTCATCCCATCCCTGGTAAAGAAAAACTATTGTGCAACTTTCACCGACAGTACAATTAACTTTTATTATTATTATGATTATTACTACCACTACTACAATTACTGTTATTATATATTAAATATTACACCACTACTAAATATTAATACAGATTTACACAGTTTTCCTAAGCTTAATAAAATTTACCATTACATTCAGTTAATTAATAAATAATTGTGATAATGACAACATACTACTACTACTACTACTAATAACAACATTACATGTATAACAACAAGTGTATAAAGCATCCATACGGTCAGATGGGAGGGATCTTGCATTAAAGCCTGTAAATAACCAGAATGAAAAATTCACTGTTGGTTTTGCAGTTGGTGTGAATATGCCTTAGGAGAGATAAAGATGGAAGACTGGTAAAAGCATGCCGTGACTAGTCAGTGTGGAAAACTTCATGGCCTAAGGACAGGAAGTGTGCTGACAGAGAAAGAACTGTTTCTTATCTTATCATGAGGTCCCTGACACTTACACTTACATCTGTGAACAAGATCATCCCACCACAGTCACAACACACAAAACACACAGCTTAATATCAATAACATAACAGTTCGAAAACTGGCACAAAGCAAATCTCTGTAGCAGATGGACCACCATTAAGTCAGAAGGCAAAGTTGCCATAGAGCTGTGCTAAATGGCATAATTTATAGTCTCACTGAGCACTCTTTCAAAGGAAAGCTCCTCATTTATTTCCTTTGAATGGATGAAAGACCAGAGAGACAGGGGGAAAGGTAAAGCAACTGTAGCCACCATATAGAATGACCACACCTTATAGCAAATCACTGAGGCATGGCATGTGGTTTCTGGAAAGGCATTCCCACAGTCTTCAATCATATGATGCTTGAAGGGGAAGTCACTCTGGAGACAGAAATCTGAGGAAGAACAGAGCCAGCTGTGTCACTCGTTTCCCCAAAGATAATGCTGCTTTGACAGCGCTTTTGAATATCTTTGTTTTTTCAGTTAAGTCCATTTCATAGAAGAAAAGGATAACTGTAAGACGCCAAACATCCCGTTTCAGACAGGTTTTGGAAAGGCAGGTGAGATGAACAGCTAAAGGGATCACCCGAGATATCCTGTTAAGGCCACAGACTTAACAGGATATCTCGGGTGATCCCTTTAGCTGTTCATCTCACCTGCCTTTCCAAATTCTTTGTATGAAACGCATACAAAACCAGAGCTTTACATGAAAACAAAACCACAGACCAACACCAAAGATCACCTATTCAGAATTAGGGATGCACTAATATTAAAATTAACCCAATAATTGTTTATAGATAATTGTTTTCATATTATGGCTTATGCATTTTTAATTATGCATATTTATAAATAAATTAAAAATAAAACACTAAACTAAAATCAATCGTTTTAAATAATGTAAGTTAATTTAGGCATCACAATATTATGAGAAAATATATGAAATTAATATTCATTTTGAGATTTGCTAAAGATTACATTTAGCTGTGTTACAAAATTATTAATTAATTTTATAGATTAATTTAACTGGTTTATTATCTTAGATTAACTAAATCTATTAATATTTTAAAGACTAATATATTTACTTTATTTTTATCTAACTTTATTAAGATTAACTTAATTTGCTTGGGCAACTAAATAATGTCTAACATTAGCCATTGGCTAATGAATTCTTAGATTTTACACGCCAGTATGTGTGTGAGACGCATTCAACACAGATTTTAACTCGATAAACACGCTGACTGAGCGCTTGATAGTTTCGCTCTCCATCAAGCGATCTGTACTATTTGGATGCGCTCAATAGATCATGTCATGTACTCAATGGATGTGCAGTATGTAGCACGCAGTGCACCTGTATTTGACGTACCGTAAACTAGTGTGAAGGCGCACGACTCGCCGTCGCTTTACTGATAGCGCTGTGTTTCTCACACA